TGGTGTAGGTCATCCAAACTGACAGGACTCTGTCTGCAGTGGCAGTACCTCAGATATTTTTATCAGTGCATCGTGATAAAAGGACATGCTTTTGGGTAAGTGTCTCTTTCTGTTCAAGGGCTCCCCAATAGAGAGGATCCATTTAAAGCTTTCACATGAAACACAAACCTACAGGATGTCTGTCTGTCCAAATATCGAAGGATAGGTGGTGAACATGTTTTTCATGCTGATCAAGTTTTGATAATTTAATTTAGGCATGTGCCTTTAAAGCCAAGAGTTTAGTCCACTGATTATCAGTGACCTCTCCGATGCTGCAATATAAAAAAATATATATAAATAATCACTTATTACATTATGCACATTTATTATTCTGGCCAAAGAGTGTGGATTAAGATACAAACTATCATGCAGAATGCTCTCCCTCAGGTCAAACAATTTGACAACCTTGTCTGTGGTGCTCATGCATCATTCATGACTTGTCGGTTTAAATGAGTTCAGAGTTATGATGGACCAAGGTTATATATTGTTTGGTTACATTCCAGCATGTTCGTTTTTCTACGGTAGCTACAGCAAAAATTATGTAAAGCACTGCCACATTGACATTTTCCTTTAGATATTACAATATTTTCATGCATTTAGTGAAAACGTCCACTAATGGAAAATTATTTTCTTCTTCCAGAAACCACACAGCTTCTTAAATGATGGTTCTCTGTGTGTTATTGTATTCGTAAGCAGTTAGACCTTTTTTGAAACACGCTTATTTGATTTTCCGCCAAGAGTTACATGAGAACATAGATGCCACTTTCATGTTTGTATGTTTATGTTTGTCAGTTGTTCTGCTTAGCTTTGCGCAAAGACTGGAAACAGGGGGAAACAGCTAGCTTGGCCGCATACCTGCACCTCTATAGCTCACTAATTAACATGTTATGTTTATTTTGCTAGTTGTCCAACAACTCACAGTGAAAAAAATAGTCCAGCACATAATCCCCCTGTAATACCAAAATGTGTCGTCTTTATATTTAGGTTTTTGTACAAATTAAATAAAGAAGATATAACATATTAATTAGTGAACTTTTGGTGCTGGTAGGTGGATTCTGTCTCACTGGACCGAGCTGGCTTGCTTTTTCCCCCTTTTTACAGTCTGTGCTAAACCAAGCTGTATGGCTTCATATTTAGCAAACCGACATTTTGATATACATCTTCTCATCTAACTCTGTAAGAAAGCAAATTAACGTGTTTTCCCCAAAATTTTGGACTATTACTTTAAATAATGTATTGAATACTACACCATTAGAGCATATAATCCAGTATACCAGCCAACCAAGAACAATATGACTTTTACATCGGACAAGGGTAATCAATTCACCTTTCCTACACAGCTCTGTTTTACTTAAAACCCATATTATCTTGAAGCTGTTTAAATAACGCATTGGAATTTGAATGTTCCGAGCTGCTGCTCCTCCATCAGGCGCCTGCACTGTTTGTTTGCAAACAACAAGGCAAAAAAATTAATGGGCAAAAAAATATAATGGGCAATTAGCATCAATGCAGTAAGTATACTTTTTCACATGGTAAATGTGAATAGAAGCATTGTAAACATTAAAATGTCCTTATTTGGACACAGATTATGAGTCAGTGTAGTCACCACCACAATAATAATAATGCAAAAGAAGAAGAAGAAGAAGAAGAAGAGGAGGTGGAGGAGATCTGGCTACATAAACTGGTCTATGCTGCATTAGTGGGACTGTCCATTGCCTACACACTGAAGTGCTCTAACATTAGCCTCTGTCTGAGCAGCATCACACTGGTTGAGTCATTGCAGAGGGTGGATAGGTAGCTATAATAAATGCTCAAATAAGAAAGTCAAATTGAACAAATTAAAATTAATCCTGCTGCCACTTTAGACAAGATAAGTGATAAAGGACAGTTGTTTTTGTTTTTTTAAATGCATGATTTTTACATAGCATGCGTTACATAGCATAGTGGTACAGCAGATTGGAAACATCAACTATAACTAAATATGTGCCAGCAAATTTCAATTCATTTACAAGCACTTTACACTCATGTGAATGAGTGTAAAGTAGTGTAATACTAAACACAAACACAGTAAATGCTTTGGAAATAATGATAGATTCCCGCTTTCTAGCCTGTCACCATATCCAAAAACAATAATCCCCCATGCACTTGGTTTAACTCCTCCCTGCTTGTCTCCACTGTCTCTTCCTGAACTGACCTCAGTCTCAAATGATATAACCCTCCCATTTCTGCATTTACGCACACAATCTGTCCTGCCCTGGGGCAAGGTGTCACATCAATACTCAATACATCCTGCAGCTTCACTCTAGCCAACCACACAAATTGGTGAGCTAATAAACACAAAAGTGCAGTTATCTTTGTCGAAATCAATTCAGTCAAGTTGCAATGACTGGAAATTGTTTGCTGCAGATGTATCATTGGCTTTTTACAGGGGTCTTTTTTTACTTTCATAGCTGCAATGCAAGCATCAAACTGAATATTCAGTGTTTTTGGCCACAGCCACATATTAGTAGAGAGGGACTGATATAGAGAAAATGAAAGCTTGGTGAGGATTGATTTTTCCATCCAGGAGAGCAAACTGAAGCCACACACACACACACACACACACACTACCGCTGGACTATAGCCTTCCACCTATTGATCCGCAATGCCAATAACACAGTCATCCACCATCAGGGATTTGTAACAATCATTATATACTGACCCAGCTGGAGGACAGCAGTGTTGTCCTGCTTTATTCCATTCACAAGCCATTCAACAAACTCCACAAAACAACAAAAACTAATTCCTCTCATTTATACAACTGATTATTTCATTCATTCATTCATTTCTTAACATAAAGGGGACATTTTGTAGACAATAATATGACCAAAATCACACAATGTGAGCTGTAGGAAAGCACAGAAATGACTAACCTGTAACTCTTGCCAGAATAGAAATGTGTCAGATAATAACCATCACATTAATTTGCTCCATCAACACCTAACAGGCAAGCAGGGACTTACGCAATCCAGACTACTAAAATACAAATCGTTTAGTGCATTTTCAAGCAGTGCCTTAGTCTTAGCTGGCCTGGCTGGTCTGCATAATGAGCTACTCAACTGGGAAACATTTAGCCTAGCTTGCATCAGCCTATCTTGCTAAAATGAATCCTCTCGATTATCTTGTTTTTTTTCCTTCTTATCATTTAGGAAGAAAAACCTTGAGTTTCTTTCAAAGACAATGGATTCAGGTTTACTCAGAGTGAATCCTGGCTAGAGTGGCCAGAGTGAATTGGTTTTGGCCTCTATGTTCTCTGTTAAACTCTACAGAGCTCCACAGAATGCATTAATTTGGTTCCTTACAAAAACTTGGTAGAAGGTGAGATGACAACAAATCCAAAAAGTAGCCTCAAAACATGTACTAATATTGTTTGTAATGAAGTTATTTGAGTGTAGCCACAAGACAACGGTTAAAGATGACTGGAGTAAAATCAGGTCATTTACATTGTCACAAGAAGTGGCTTGCTTTTGACCTTCTTGAAATGAAAAACCAAGAGCCAAGCATGTAACATTCATTTCTCCCACAGTAGCAACTGCTGAAGTGCCCTTGAGCTAAGCACTGACCCCACCACCGTCCCAGTGTAATTACTCAGCAGCCGTCAGTTCAAGGGTGTGGTCGAACTGGACAGTGTAAAGGTGTGGCTGTGTGAATTTGAGTATACTTGCATCTCCCTGCAACCTCTCCCCAAGGCTGCTGCTTTTTTTCCCCACCAACTACATCATCTCAACAGCATTTTGCATTTTTATTATAGCCGAGCCCTAGATGTATGAGGTACAATTGTGTTCAATTTTCCTTTCCTTTCTTGGCCCTTTTCTCACTTCATTAGGTTACACAGCCAATCTCTATGGCAGCTGACAGAGTTTGGAGAGCTGCAGCTGATCCTAGCGTGAAGTGTGAAGTGCAGTTGGTGGGAAGAGGGATAACAAATTAATTCTCCAGACAGAACTTGGTGCCCTACATGGCAGAGGAGTGACTAGTAGACCAATTATGAAGCCATCTCACACTCCACAGCCCTTCCTATCAAATCCATCACGTGTTACATGTTGATACATTAGGCCATTTATCCATCAAAAGCGTAGTCAGAAGAATGTAAACCGCTGTGCTACTGGTATAATAACCTAATGTGAAATTTTAAATAATTTTCAAAGGGACTTACTATCAAATTTGGACCCAAACACATTGACAAATGGGTAACTAGTGACATGACAACTAAAAAGCCAATTTTTACATTTCAAATATTCCACAAATACTTAATTATGAAGGTGGTCAGAGGTGAAGATTACTTTGGGATGATTTGATTTCTTTTTTTTTATTGGACAGCAGAGAGCCGGGAAGGTTTAAGGAGAATGACAAGTTCAAATGCAATAATTTGTATGATTCAACCAGTTTCACCAGTAGACACCACCACACTACACTTGTAACCAAAGACTGTCACAGCCAGATACTACAACAACCATAACAGCAACGTTTGTTTTCCCCACTTTTAAGTTAAGTCATCACAGTGCTTGCTCATTAGGAATTACTGAATTAGCCTAAATCACTGTGTTACAGGCCATCATGCTCCATCACCCCGCCTGTGAATTGTGGATTGCAGGACTGAGGAGTTAGTAGCCTATATAAAGCCAGACTCTTGGCAGGTGTCTGTTGTTTGTTTGTTTTTTAAAGCCAATTTCAGTTCATAAACATCTGTGTAATTTTTGGATTGGCCTGCCAATGAGACAATTACAGTAAAAATATTTCCCATAGGCTACTGTGTGTGTGTGTGTTGTGTGTGTGTGTGTGGGGGGGGGGGATTCATCATGGATACAACTTAGCCAAAATATAATTGCGTCGTCTTTTTGTTTACCAAAAGGACGATTTCCTGCTGTTCTTAAGCAGTGAATATTCTTATTAACCAGTTAATACCGTGTATAACTACTCACAGGCGTGTGTGACAGAGAAACTGTTGGAGGACTCCAGGTTGTCAACATTGTAATTGAGGTGGAAGGGTTTCTCCGTCACATTCTGGTTGGTGTTATACAGCTGGACAGCAAACCTGAAGGCGCTGTGCTCCTGCACTGTAGAGCGCATGAACAGTCCACCTACAGGAAAGAAAATGTCACATATAACTGTGCTCTAATGAGTTAATACACAAAATATGCATACACAAAGGACGCACTTTTTATTCACCTGATCAGGATATTAGGCTACTTATTTACAGAGTGATGGCAGTGCCCTACAATCAGTCTACGCATTACTGTACAGATGAATGGGTCATCTAATTTTAAGAGAGGACAAGCAGAAATAAATGTGATGACCCAACACTCATTAAATAATGCACTGCGGATACTGAAACTCGCATTTTGGTAATTTGGATCAACTCTATTTTTTTACCAAACCACCTAAAAAGACACGCAGGATCCCACAGCCTTCTGGATTTTAGAGAAGTGAACTTAGTAATGAATTATGCAAATAACCAAATCTGTGCGACTAGAGGAGACGTGTCCTATTTAGAACAAAGAAATAGCCTGATATGTAGTCATATCCCGTTGAACTTACCAATGTTGATCTGATTTGGAAACCCTGCCAGCGAGTCCCCCCAAAAATACAATAAAACAAGGACTGTCGCTATTGTGCGAAGCCACATTTTTCTCCGAGAACTGAAATCAACTCCTGGTCTGGATGTGGCAGAGGAAACGCAGGGAGAACCATGTACACGGGCTTGTACGCAAAGAAATCCACAAGATGCGGCGGGTCTCTCTCACTCAATGTGTGCACCCACGTTGAATGTGTGCCAGCGCAACTGCAGCGCCAGCCCTCTGCTGCTGCTGCTGCTGGGGACCTAAAGCCAGTGTTTTATCTCAAAGATGGTGGTGGATGAGTAGGAGGAGGAGGAGGAGAGAAAAAGCGGATCTCTTTACTGTGGATAAAGACCACTGAAATGGGCCAGAGAGAGAGAGAGAGCAGAGGAGAAGAGAGGAGGGAGGGAGGGATGTAGAGAGAGAGAGATGAGGGAGGCAAGGGGGGCGTTTATCAAACTTGCTGTGACGTTGAATTATAATAAGAGCAGCCTCCTGTCTACCTCCTCACGCCACTGCAGAGTTGGTGTGGGTTTGGTGTGTGTGGTGCAAAGGCAGAGGCATCTAGTATGGACCAAAAGTACATTTCTGACTTGTGAGTGTGTGAACCTACTGTCTATCTATCTATCTATCTATCTATCTATCTATCTATCTCAGTGTTGTGTTCTCTGTACTCATGCAGCAGCAGTCCCGCACACTAGCAGCATAATCTTAGGCTGTCCCCTGCAGGTGTTTGAGTGCAGATACTGTAGATGTGGGAGCTAATGCACTGATTTATCACTGTTTAATCTCTGGTTGCCAAGTGGCCTAACTAATGTTATATATTAGTGTCCTAATTGGCTTACTTGTGTTAAGTCATTTGAGTTCACATATCTTGTTGTCAGCATGAATAGTTGTGATGCAGGGAGTCTAGGAGCAGCGACCTAATTTGGGGCCCATCGCATGTGTTTGGATGTGTTTGGGATTTGAGTTCTCAGTGGAAATATTCTAAATAAAAAAACAGCAACAGTGGCATTAAAATCTACTTTCTCTGCTGTAAATGTCCCAAATAATCTATGTATTTAATTCATCAGTGAGATATACTGTAGGAATGGGTTCATTTTTCCACTAACATTGGTGAAAAGACATTTCAGCAATGTGCAATTGAATTCACACTAGTGACACATGGAACAAAGGCCCGTTTCTGTGGTAAAATATCAGTGCAGAGCATTATGATTGTCACTGTTTGTATCTTTAGACACACTCGGGTACAGTGTCACATTGTCAGTCTTCAGAAAATGTTGCATTAGCCAGCAGTACCCTGAATCAAATAATACAAAATACAGACAGACAGCAGAGAGTCTACAATGGAGGGATCAGTGCAGAAAAACATTTGCGCTTGTAGAGGCTTAAATAGTTTTTTGGTTTAACATGGTCCTTCCAATTATTACACCATTATCATGACAAGGAAGTTGTGCTCTGCCTGGCAATCAGACTCGCATGAGAGGAAATGGAGTCACGATTATTACATCACCGCACCAGCAGCTCAGCATGCAGTCTTCTCTATCACCTAACGAGTTGATTGCCAGGTAATATTTGGCCTTAAAACTTAACGATGTTCGCGAACCCGAAGCTAATCTCAAACATGCTCCACTAATGAAGAGCGGGATACAGTTCTACTAAAGCACAAATCTGCAAACTTCATGTTATCTCTTTTTTTTTTTTCGCACTGTTTCTCATTTAGAACACTGCAGCTCTATTTACTCCTGTCTAAATCAACAGTCTCTGATGTCTGCATCCAGTGCTGAATGCAGCATCTAGGGTTTTACCAAATCACACCTCCAGAGTGAGGTCACAGGTGGTTTTCAGTCGTTCATATAGTTTTTCATAATGCTGTAGTACAAAGTGCATTCTGTACTCCACTGTGCAATACTGTACAAGAATGGAATTCAAAGTCACTGAACACATCTTTTTAAGGACGACCACTCTTCTGCCTGAAGTTCATTCTCTTTAATCATTTATCTATTTCAAGACATTGAAGTTAAATCGCTCTATTCACTCCAGTATTGCTTACTCACTGTGGGAAACTCTTACATTCCATTAGATTAACTGAGCAATACAACACCAATTATGCTCACTGAGTGTGATGTTTTGGAACTGATGTGTATGTGTGTACTATATATATATATATACAGTATATGTTTGATGGTATATGTTTGTGCTTATTGATCTGAATGTGGTTTATTACATACAACTCTAATCTTTTACATAAGTAGAACTGCACTATACTTAAGTTCAATTTCATGAATGAAAACAATGTCTGGATGTTATAACCTTATCATAGGCATATCACACTGTTATAATAATAATATAGTAATATGTCCTCTGTAGATATGTGTTTCCTGCCACTTTAAAAAATTATCCAATTTGTTTCAGTCCACTTAACCCTCTATAGTACGCATTATTTTGCCTGTGGGGGAAAAAAATATCTTTGTGTTTTTTTGTCATTAAATGGACCAAGTAAACATAATTTAAAGAAATTTCAAAAATATATATCTTGGGGGTAAACTTTGGGGTACGTTGCCTTAAAGCAACACTGTACCATAATGGCAAAGAATGGAAAAAGAGAGTCATTATTTAAAGTTTGAATAAAATTACTGAAATACTCAATGAAAATGTTCAATGGCTTTACCAGTTTAAAATACAATCATTTTAAATTTGAAAATATAAAAAATAAAGTCTTTACATAGGTTTGTTTGTTTGAACGTTACCCTTAGGCAACATTGTACCATTGTCGAACCGCCTACAGGAATGAAAACGTAAAAGAGAGTATACATATTTCAACAAAGTTTACATTAAAAATCTTAAAATCCAAACTTCAAAAACATGTTGAAAATCAAGATAGAGTTACCTTTCATCATTTGTGTTAGATTTAAATTTGTCTTTTCTGAAATGTGTTGCCTTATGGCCGTCTTTGGCTCAATACCTTTGGAAGTTGACAAAGCACTGAAAGTCAACAAAAAGCATCATATGATCAATAAGTGAAAACAAGTTATTAAATAGGTTTTCCACTCCTCACTGCACTTTTATTCTCACTGCTCTTCTTCACTGTTATCCTCATCTGCGTTCTAAGATTAACCCTCACCTTCTCTGTCACTTTCTTGTAGGATTTTTAGCAGCTCATTGTCTTCCACACTTCTAAATCCTTATTCTTCCTCACTACCATGAACTGGGAGTGCCCTTTTCTTTGATGAACCATAAAAAATGTTGTGTTCATCCTCTAAATGGAAGAACAATGTGTTTAAATCATTAGCATGTGCTCTCCAGGGAGGACAATAAAGAGTACGGTTAAAATATCCAGTGTAATAAAATTTGTATGACAGTGTTATTACAACTAACATTATCAAATGTATAATTAATTAATTGATTAATTAATGTAGATTTAGAGAAAATTATGTTGACTGTTATGCTTTTGAGCAGTATATAAATGACATGCGGGATTCCATAATGGTATGATGGTGCTTCAAGGCATCATTTGCACTTTAACTATTTTCCATTATATAATTATCAAATAAATTGCATTGAACAATTAACAATGAAACTTTACTCACCAATTATTGTGAATCAAATTTTTCTGGGTCAAAAAATGGCATAAAAATATGTTTTGAGGGTAGTTTAGCACAGAGAGAAAATGGAACTGAACCATGTGTCAAAGGCAGCAGGCCAAAAATGAGTATGTTGCCCAGAGGCAACATACGTAGAAAGTAGGCAACACCGTACCATAGAGGGTTAAACATGAACTCAGGATGAAATTCTTGCAAAATGCACATATATACATGCAAGAGGTGTCAATATATCAACAACTGGTAAATACAAAAGTAGGCTATAGCCCCGAGTGCAGCCCGCAGACAGGGTTATAATTGTTTCCTGTGAGCACTCCGCTTTACTTAGAAAAGAAAAATGCAACACTTTTTCTACAACATGTTAAAATGATATAACAGTGTTAAATTAGTACAACTTGTTAAATCACATACCCCAAATTAAACCTCAGTATCTTAATGCAACTTCTAATGTGCGCCACCAATGTACACATAGTTTTTGATATAAGTATATAATGCAAACCTGATACAAAGACAAAATCTGCATATGGCAGAGGACAACTGCACCTTTATGAACCACCAACTTTATGGCACAAGTTAAAGTTGTCTTTCTGATGTAACTATTTATGTAACTATGAACTATATTACCAAGGAAGGCTGTAAATTAAGACGAAAGTAAGGAGTAGCCTCCCAAGCACTCCCTAAAAATGTCAGACTACCCTACCTTCAGCCAAAAGACAAAATTCAGTACCCTCACCCTTTCTGATCTCCTCTGCCCCCCCCCCCGAGAATTGTAGTGTGACTGTTTGACACAAGCACCTCTCACTGCAGAGATAAGGTTCCGTGTTAAGTGACGTGAAGAGAGAAACTTTTTATACCATCCTCTCTGCCTCTTGAGGTGGTTTGATGTTAAAATTTATGTCAGTGTGCCTTTGCAGCCTCTTCAGCTACACACTGATCTTCTGGTTTCAGTAGAAGACACTGACTTTCAGGATAACACAGTTTCCCTCAGTAAGAAGTTCTGACAGCATTTCAACAAGTGTTAGAAGTCATTTAGGAGAGCATTCAGGTTACCAATGCACTGCCTCCTCTGCACACCTTTGGGCATGCTTCCCACTTCCCACCGTGGCAAATGAGATCTGCTCAGGGAGTTTCTCACTCTCTGTCTGAACCACAACCTCTTTAGCAAGATTCAATTAAGTGTAAATGTCAGCAGGTATTTCCAGAGCTTCCTATGGAGTTTAAGTAAAAAAGGCATTTATGAAGTCTCAACCATATTGGTAGTGCAATTATTAGCATGGTGTTGTCCTGGCATTGCTCCAAGAGGCTAACATGGGCAATGTGATGATAGACCATGAACCCCTGCGAGTTAATAAGATACAATGCAGACAAACTATTTTAAGTGATTGTAGGTTGGTCTTAAATTAAAAGAAAGTGTCTACTATGCAATGTAAAACAAAGCACAGGTCTCACAGACTGTTCAATCACTTGTCAATACCAATCTATCAAAGTCTGCGGACTTAACCTCGTTTTATGTATGGCAATTGCTTGTTATAACCCACAGAAATATGCACACAAGTTGTGAGCCTGAGGGAGCAGAGTGGCCTAAATACAGGCACATCCAGTGTTACACTTAGCTGTGTTAACAGAGAGTGCAAAGTTACAGTCAGACACATCAGCCATCCACAGTAATTAAGTCATCAAAAAGGCAACTGACTTTCACTCAGTTGTAATCATTATTCAACATTCAGTGTGAGCGTTTGTCAAACAG